GATCTGAACGATGGCACTGTTGTGGAACTGCAACGGTGATTTGCAGTACCTTGCGCCGTTCCATCTGTCCTGTTCCATCTCCATCGTTCCATCACCACCGTTCCACCTACACCATTCCACCTGCACCATATCATGTTGAATTCCTCGTTCAGTGCAAAAAACTATCAAACGGAAGACTTTTTTTAAACATCTCGAAAACAGTAACTCAGTTATCTACTCGACAATTACTAAGGTAATCGCTGTCAACAGCCCGTCCTCGTTAGCAATTGGCCTAAGCTCATTGATGCACTCAACCGTGGACCTCTGATGTTTATACAGTGTTCTCTGATTGTGCCTATGGCACCTCTGCTCTTCATTGGTTCTATTCTGCATTTTCTTCCATATCGTTCACTCCAGTACGTTGTTATTTTACTGTGTAGATTTGGTACTTGGCCCACCAGTATCTTCCACGTGTATATTATTTGATATCTCTCGTCTTCTTTCTATTGAAAAAATTTGGAGAGCTTTGAGACGATCCCAATAATTTAGGTGATTTATTGCGTCTATGCGTGCTGTATATGTTCTCTGTATACCCTCTATTTCAGCTATCTCTCCTGCTCTGAAGGGGAAAGTGAATACTGAGCAATACTCTAGACGGAACAGTACAAGTGATTTGTATAGTACAACCCTTGTGATGGGATCTTTAGATTTGAAAGTTCTCGTAATCCATCCTATCATTTTTCTGGCTGCCGTAATATTTGCTTGGTTATGCTGCCTAAACGTTAGGTCGTCAGACATCATTATTTCCAAATCCTTTACATGCTGCTTTCCTAATATGGGCACATTTGATTGTGTATTGTTCCCTGTATTATGTTTAAGGTCCTCATTTTTACCGTACGTAAGTACCTGGAATTTATCACTGTTAAACATCATGTTATTTTCTGTTGCCCAGTCGAAAACTTTATTAATATCTGCTTGTAGTTTTTCAATGTCTTCAGCAGAGGTAATTTTCATGCTGATTTTTGTGTCATATGCAAAGGATGATACGAAGCTGTGACTTGTATTTTTGTCTATATCTGATATGAGAATAAGGAAAAGCAGCGGTGCAAGGACTGTACCCTGAGGTACCGAGCTTTTAACTGCGTTTGAACTCGATTTTATATGGTTGACTGTTACTACTCGTTCAATACAAAAAAAAAAACAAAGTCTTCTTTAAACAACTTGAGAACGGCAACTCACTTATGTGATAACCATCATTAATGAGGACGGGCTGGGTTGGTGTTCATGAGGAGGTGCGGGTTTATGAGTGAACTCATAAACCTTTACTCACACTTGGTGACGTTCCAACTTTTCGTTTTCTTTCTGTGTTCGAATCGCACCTCTGTATTCTAAAATATAAGATTTCAGGAAATTTCGGCTTGTTAGACAACTTGGCCTGTTAGGTACAACAGGCCATGTTTTATATATATATGTCGTACCAAATAGCCAGAAACGCACGACTCGGACTAGTATGCAAGGCCCGATTTGTCTACTAGGGAGAGTGATTTGCGGTGGTCAGGGTACTGTGTACGTTTAAGGGTGATCTTGGACGGCATTGGTTCGAATCCTGGCCGGGTCAAAGAGTTCATAGTGATATAATATATATAAATATAATGTTTGCGAGTCTGTGTGTATTTCAGTGATAATTTCTACAAAAATATATTAAGTATAATTTAGCCAGACTCAGATAATTATGTTCTAACTGAATTTATTTGAAAACTTCGGATTATTCATACATAATTCTCCAGCGAGCAGACATTCATAATCTAAAAAAAAAAAGGTGCAAAGTAATCCCCTTGTTAAGAGGAAGAACCACTTCAGCGTAATTGTAAGAGACTTTATCGTTGCAATCAGAGAGGAAGAAATTGGCAGTCGACAGGTAGGTCGACCAAAAAATGTTCTTATCGACACCGTGAACTCCTCGAGGAATTCGCAAGAGCTTCTCCAAGACCTGAGCTCGATTTTGGAGGTACCAATAGTAAATACACACAGAGAATACAAAGGGATACACAGGCTCCGTTACTGCGACTCTTGACAGCTAGTGGGCAAGGGATAGTGGTCGGGGTAATTTACAACCACCCAACCACCCGGACAGGAATCCCGTGATGACAACAACGTATGAATAGGTGAATTGCGGAGACTGATTGGAGGTGGTTGAGAGCTGTCTCTTCTTGGAGGTGGCTGAGAGCTGGCTCTTCTTGGAGGTGGCTGAGAGCTGGCTCTTCTTGGAGGTGGCTGAGAGCTGGCTCTTCTTGGAGGTGGCTGAGAGCTGGCTCTTCTTGGAGGTGGCTGAGAGCTATCTCTTCTTGGAGGTGGTTGAGAGCTGTCTCTTCTTAAAGGCAGCTGAGAGCTGCCTCTTCTTGAAGGCGGCTGAGAGCTATCTCTTCTTGGAGGGGAGGGGGGAGTATACATATGTATTCCCCTATGGTACTCAGGGGCGACAGTTCCTTATATTTAAACTGCTCCCCCGCCCCGCGATTGG